TAATATTTGCTCAATACTACGGGGGCTGAACTTAAGAGACAGTTTAGCCGTTATATTCCATCAACTACTAGTCGCTGTATTTGAAGCCAAATTCTTTATTTGTTGTTTTGTTTTTAAACATTTTTTGAACAGTATTCTAATTTCCCCAATATTGGATATTTCGCAAATACTTTTGTGCGCAGATTAAGGATAATATTGGCATATTCTCCGACAACTTTACTCCATTCGCCTTTTTCATAAAATTATGACTGTATAACTGACCTTAATTTACGAAAAACTTTAATAAACAGATAATTAGCTCAACTTTCTTGATGCTGTACCAATAATAATTTCCTACTTGGAAAAAACACATTTCACTTATAAAATTCGGTAAATGTTCGATTTATAAAGAATTTACGTGCAGAAATTATTTAGCGATCGGTCGTTTTGTTTTAAATTAAATTTCAAAGCTTAATTTTTTCCCATACAAAATGTAAACATAATCAGATGTGCTTTTGAAAAAAATGACATTTAAGTCTAAGTTTCGTCAAAAGATGTTTATTTTTATATTATGGAAAGTGGCACGCGTTGTAAAATGTCTGTTTCGCGGGTTTTATCGGTAAATTCAGCCGACATTTCTAAATTTTTGATCGAACTACAGCTTTAGAATAGAATAGTAGAATAGTTTTTCTAAATTTAATAGACAACGAAAACTGAGTTTGGTGGCTACATATTAGTATATGTATATTACTACGAAATTAGGGTTAAATAAAAGGGACGTGCGCTCGATGTCAAGGTTCTTTTTCGACCTATTTTTCTCTGTTATAATATCTTATTAAGCCAAGAGCGAGAGAGAGCTTTATCGCTGCCAAAACATTCGCCTGGCTAACGAGACAAGCCGCCATCGCCTTAAGCAACTCAAACCCTCCTCGTCGGGGGTGCTGGGGGTGCGATGAGCGGTCAGCAGGTTCCCGGGAGTCAGCGCGTCTCCGTCGCTTGGGACTGGGCCTAGCGGGCGCGAGTTGAGCACATACTCGATTCCGACCATCACGGTCTCCAGCTCCTCGGCGGTGAGGAGACGCTTCCGACCGACCTCAGTAGGAGGTTTTTGTCCGACTTCACTCCGGCATCCCAGAGTCCGCCCATGTGCGGTGGTCGAGGCTGAAGGAAGGGAAACTCGCACCCGATTTTTGCAGCAAACTCGCGGATGGTGTCCGATTTTGCCCCGATCCTCGTCCGACAAAATTTGTCGCGTTGTCGCAGTTCACTCTTGTTGGACATCATCGATGACCAACGAACCTTTGAAAAGCTAAAAAGGAGTAAGTGGTCAGATCGGAGACAATTTATAGATGAACCGCTTTGGACGAAAAACAGACAAATAACAGACAAACAAATTTGGCAATTGGCATTTAAAGCAGCGAATGAACGACCTGACTATCGCCGGCAAACCTCCAGTCCTCCTATCCAAACACTCTGCCTAAAGATGCTCTCAAGTGCTCGTGGGCCGGCATGAAAATTCGTTTGATGCAGTTAGCGAACATACATTGGTCTGCACAAACTGCGAGCGTTTTGTCAACAGCGGAAACTTGGTATTGTATGACATAGGAGCGTTAAGTAGTCGCCCCCCAACTCGCAACAACGAAAAAGAGTACCAAGTCTCCATTTCTTCATTGATAAAGAGATTTAAACTCTGAAGACTGTGGTCTAATATGGTGCTTTTACGAACCCTTTCAATATCTTCTTAATGCTCGTTTTTATGGATCAACTCGACAATATTTTTTAACAGATAAAACATTCCCAGAATGTGAAAGTATGTGTACGGTTTCCATAGCTGATACTTTCTAGCCAAAATCCCGGTATCGTACTCTTATTCCATGTAATAAGAAAAAAAGAAGAATTGTAAGGATGTGCAATGTAATTCGTAAATGTCAATGTCGCAATGTCATTCGTAAAACGTGAAAGGTAATGTGACGCAGGCGGGAATTTTTTTTGTATTATGAACGACGAGGAGGATAAAAGGTGAATTTAGCTGTGAAAACCGCGAAACAGACATTTTACAACCCGAGCATCTTTCGACGAAACTTTGAAATTCTATTAAAAAAGAACCATATCCAACCGCCAAATAATTTCTGCACCTAAATTCAAACTTTGATATGCACGCACATTTAAAATTTTTATACAAATGCTCAAAAATTTTTAATAGTTTTAAAAGATAACTATTATATTGTCCCCGTATTTATTTCGACCAGGTATAGTTTAAGGGGTCAAGGATTTTTCGTTTTTTACTGCACACTGCAAAGACTTACACTTCTTAGAAGGGATCAATATTTTGAGCCCCTAGGATAGTTATTTTATTTTTACATACGATTTATATTTAAGTCATCCATACATTTTATTATATGTTCATATTTTGGTTTGTAATTTATTTAAATGTAGGTTTCGAACGATTGTTGTGATGAACTCAATCTCAAGACTTTAATATCTCTACGAGAAGATGAAACTAATGCTTAAGATCACAACCGATTCAAATATTTTTTAAATTCTCATAAAGAACGTCGTAATAAGATGATGTTAAGGATATGAAGGTAAATGCGTAAAAAAATAATATAAATTCCATTTTTTATTTTTAAGGCATATAAAAAACACACCATTAACCCTGGCTTTCCTTTAGAACAAATACCGTTTGGACCGTAATAAATTTAAGCCAATTTTAAAATTTAGTGTTAAGGCTTAAAAAAAGGTAGCCGATGTGTTCGGCCTCTAAGAAATTTATATATTATGTAAGATAAATAGAAAACGCCAAGTAAGAGTGAATTATTAAAATTATATGTTATATTGCTATATTTATTACGACTAACTGTTTTAGTATTTATTATATCTTAGTTATGGGGAAAAAACTGAGGTTAGGTTAAATTAAGTTGCCTGCCAGGTTCACTGGTAACGAAATTGGAGAAGTATTGTGTGTTATTAGTACGGAATAGGACGGCTACGAAGTTTAGGCTGCTGCCTTCATTATCGTTCCGCCTCCCCAACCTGAAAAGATAATCCGCTCGGCCCGCTTCTTAGCACAATTAAATAAGCTCCGTTGTGATACCGTTAGATCTACGTAGTCGTTTTCCTTTTTAAAGAATTATGTTTATTTTCTGTCAACTTTTTTTAAGAATTTATGGTCTTGTGTTTTTATACCCGTACTCAAAAAAGAGTTAAGGGGTATATTAGATTTGTTGTAAAAGTGGATGTGTGCAACGCAGAGAAGGAAACGTTTCCGACCCCATAAAGTATATATATTCTTGATCAGCATCAATAGCCGAGTCGATATAGCCATGCTCGTCTGTCCGTCCGTCTGTCCGTCTTGATGAGCGCCTAGATCTGAGAGACTATAAGAGCTAGAGAAACCAAATTTGGTTTCCAGACTCATGTGATATCACACTGCTACAAGTGTATTCAAAATTTTTCCCGCCCCCTTCCGCCACCACAAAGGACGAAAATCTGTGGCAGGCACATTTTTAAAGATACGATAAAACTAAAAACGCAGTATCGTAGAGAATGCCCATATCTACCAGATTGCCGACTCTGAACTAGATCGGATCATAATTATAGCCAAAATGATGAAATTTTCTGTTGGTTCCCTCTCCTTCTCCAGCGCTGCTGACGCTACTGATTCTCTTTCTCGCTCGCACACTCTGCCGCGTTCAGTGCGCGAGCAACCCCTAGCGGAGGAGATGAGAATCTAAATGGTACATGTACAATCTACATGCTAGATGTAGAATATACATTGTAGATGTAGCTGTAGATAACAGATGTAGCAAAAAAATGTAAAATGTAAAATTTTTTTTTTTTTTCAATTCTAAAAAATCATAAGCTCAAAAATGTACATATATACTGACTAAGTACGGGTATAAGGTAGAGTCGCGTCCCCAGAAGCGACTCACACGTTCCTTCTCGTTTTAAAGCTTTTTTCTTTCATTTGGTTGTTCTGAACTTTGCCATTCTGAAAACCTAAGAAATTCAGCTATACAAACCCAAGCACTTTGTGATCCCAGCTTGCCGTTTGGGAAATATTAAGGCTTCAAATGCAAAAATTCTGATTTTGTGCGGTATTTTTTACGAAATTTTGACTTTAAAAACTCAGGAAATTTAATTTTTAATTTAAGGTGAAAATATTTATATTATTTTTGTCGAGAGTATTCCCAAAACATTCTCGATTGGGTTTAAAACGAGACAACATGCAGGCCAAGATACATTTTTCGTTCCTCAAAGAACTGCTTTGTCGCTTTGGATACGTGAATTGAAAAATCCACTTTTCCTCCCATTTTTTTTCGCTTAACGGTAATACTGTAATTCATCACTGAAGAGACAAAATTGAACGTTTCTGCAAATAGCATACGAGCGGTTTTATGCCTTGGTAGCAGCATAGGTACCATTTTTCCATATTTAATCCAAACTTAATATTTGCTCAATACTACGGGGGCTGAACTTAAGAGACAGTTTAGCCGTTATATTCCATCAACTACTAGTCGCTGTATTTGAAGCCAAATTCTTTATTTGTTGTTTTGTTTTTAAACATTTTTTGAACAGTATTCTAATTTCCCCAATATTGGATATTTCGCAAATACTTTTGTGCGCAGATTAAGGATAATATTGGCATATTCTCCGACAACTTTACTCCATTCGCCTTTTTCATAAAATTATGACTGTATAACTGACCTTAATTTACGAAAAACTTTAATAAACAGATAATTAGCTCAACTTTCTTGATGCTGTACCAATAATAATTTCCTACTTGGAAAAAACACATTTCACTTATAAAATTCGGTAAATGTTCGATTTATAAAGAATTTACGTGCAGAAATTATTTAGCGATCGGTCGTTTTGTTTTAAATTAAATTTCAAAGCTTAATTTTTTCCCATACAAAATGTAAACATAATCAGATGTGCTTTTGAAAAAAATGACATTTAAGTCTAAGTTTCGTCAAAAGATGTTTATTTTTATATTATGGAAAGTGGCACGCGTTGTAAAATGTCTGTTTCGCGGGTTTTATCGGTAAATTCAGCCGACATTTCTAAATTTTTGATCGAACTACAGCTTTAGAATAGAATAGTAGAATAGTTTTTCTAAATTTAATAGACAACGAAAACTGAGTTTGGTGGCTACATATTAGTATATGTATATTACTACGAAATTAGGGTTAAATAAAAGGGACGTGCGCTCGATGTCAAGGTTCTTTTTCGACCTATTTTTCTCTGTTATAATATCTTATTAAGCCAAGAGCGAGAGAGAGCTTTATCGCTGCCAAAACATTCGCCTGGCTAACGAGACAAGCCGCCATCGCCTTAAGCAACTCAAACCCTCCTCGTCGGGGGTGCTGGGGGTGCGATGAGCGGTCAGCAGGTTCCCGGGAGTCAGCGCGTCTCCGTCGCTTGGGACTGGGCCTAGCGGGCGCGAGTTGAGCACATACTCGATTCCGACCATCACGGTCTCCAGCTCCTCGGCGGTGAGGAGACGCTTCCGACCGACCTCAGTAGGAGGTTTTTGTCCGACTTCACTCCGGCATCCCAGAGTCCGCCCATGTGCGGTGGTCGAGGCTGAAGGAAGGGAAACTCGCACCCGATTTTTGCAGCAAACTCGCGGATGGTGTCCGATTTTGCCCCGATCCTCGTCCGACAAAATTTGTCGCGTTGTCGCAGTTCACTCTTGTTGGACATCATCGATGACCAACGAACCTTTGAAAAGCTAAAAAGGAGTAAGTGGTCAGATCGGAGACAATTTATAGATGAACCGCTTTGGACGAAAAACAGACAAATAACAGACAAACAAATTTGGCAATTGGCATTTAAAGCAGCGAATGAACGACCTGACTATCGCCGGCAAACCTCCAGTCCTCCTATCCAAACACTCTGCCTAAAGATGCTCTCAAGTGCTCGTGGGCCGGCATGAAAATTCGTTTGATGCAGTTAGCGAACATACATTGGTCTGCACAAACTGCGAGCGTTTTGTCAACAGCGGAAACTTGGTATTGTATGACATAGGAGCGTTAAGTAGTCGCCCCCCAACTCGCAACAACGAAAAAGAGTACCAAGTCTCCATTTCTTCATTGATAAAGAGATTTAAACTCTGAAGACTGTGGTCTAATATGGTGCTTTTACGAACCCTTTCAATATCTTCTTAATGCTCGTTTTTATGGATCAACTCGACAATATTTTTTAACAGATAAAACATTCCCAGAATGTGAAAGTATGTGTACGGTTTCCATAGCTGATACTTTCTAGCCAAAATCCCGGTATCGTACTCTTATTCCATGTAATAAGAAAAAAAAGAAGAATTGTAAGGATGTGCAATGTAATTCGTAAATGTCAATGTCGCAATGTCATTCGTAAAACGTGAAAGGTAATGTGACGCAGGCGGGAATTTTTTTTGTATTATGAACGACGAGGAGGATAAAAGGTGAATTTAGCTGTGAAAACCGCGAAACAGACATTTTACAACCCGAGCATCTTTCGACGAAACTTTGAAATTCTATTAAAAAAGAACCATATCCAACCGCCAAATAATTTCTGCACCTAAATTCAAACTTTGATATGCACGCACATTTAAAATTTTTATACAAATGCTCAACAATTTTTAATAGTTTTAAAAGATAACTATTATATTGTCCCCGTATTTATTTCGACCAGGTATAGTTTAAGGGGTCAAGGATTTTTCGTTTTTTACTGCACACTGCAAAGACTTACACTTCTTAGAAGGGATCAATATTTTGAGCCCCTAGGATAGTTATTTTATTTTTACATACGATTTATATTTAAGTCATCCATACATTTTATTATATGTTCATATTTTGGTTTGTAATTTATTTAAATGTAGGTTTCGAACGATTGTTGTGATGAACTCAATCTCAAGACTTTAATATCTCTACGAGAAGATGAAACTAATGCTTAAGATCACAACCGATTCAAATATTTTTTAAATTCTCATAAAGAACGTCGTAATAAGATGATGGTAAGGATATGAAGGTAAATGCGTAAAAAAATAATATAAATTCCATTTTTTATTTTTAAGGCATATAAAAAACACACCATTAACCCTGGCTTTCCTTTAGAACAAATACCGTTTGGACCGTAAATTAAAGCCAATTTTAAAATTTAGTGTTAAGGCTTAAAAAAAGGTAGCCGATGTGTTCGGCCTCTAAGAAATTTATATATTATGTAAGATAAATAGAAAACGCCAAGTAAGAGTGAATTATTAAAATTATATGTTATATTGCTATATTTATTACGACTAACTGTTTTAGTATTTATTATATCTTAGTTATGGGGAAAAAACTGAGGTTAGGTTAAATTAAGTCGCCTGCCAGGTTCACTGGTAACGAAATTGGAGAAGTATTGTGTGTTATTAGTACGGAATAGGACGGCTACGAAGTTTAGGCTGCTGCCTTCATTATCGTTCCGCCTCCCCAACCTGAAAAGATAATCCGCTCGGCCCGCTTCTTAGCACAATTAAATAAGCTCCGTTGTGATACCGTTAGATCTACGTAGTCGTTTTCCTTTTTAAAGAATTATGTTTATTTTCTGTCAACTTTTTTTAAGAATTTATGGTCTTGTGTTTTTATACCCGTACTCAAAAAAGAGTTAAGGGGTATATTAGATTTGTTGTAAAAGTGGATGTGTGCAACGCAGAGAAGGAAACGTTTCCGACCCCATAAAGTATATATATTCTTGATCAGCATCAATAGCCGAGTCGATATAGCCATGCTCGTCTGTCCGTCCGTCTGTCCGTCTTGATGAGCGCCTAGATCTGAGAGACTATAAGAGCTAGAGAAACCAAATTTGGTTTCCAGACTCATGTGATATCACACTGCTACAAGTGTATTTCAAAATTTTGCCCCGCCCCCTTCCGCCACCACAAAGGACGAAAATCTGTGGCAGGCACATTTTTAAAGATACGATAAAACTAAAAACGCAGTATCGTAGAGAATGCCCATATCTACCAGATTGCCGACTCTGAACTAGATCGGATCATAATTATAGCCAAAATGATGAAATTTTCTGTTGGTTCCCTCTCCTTCTCCAGCGCTGCTGACGCTACTGATTCTCTTTTTCGCTCGCACACTCTGCCGCGTTCAGTGCGCGAGCAACCCCTAGCGGAGGAGATGAGAATCTAAATGGTACATGTACAATCTACATGTTAGATGTAGAATATACATTGTAGATGTAGCTGTAGATAACAGATGAAGCAAAAAAATGTAAAATGTAAAATTTTTTTTTTTTATTTTTCAATTCTAAAAAATCATAAGCTCAAAAATGTACATATATACTGACTAAGTACGACTCACACGTTCCTTCTCGTTTTAAAGCTTTTTTCTTTCAGTTGGTTGTAAATATTTATATTATTTTTGTCCGAGAGTATTCCCAAAACATTCTCGATTGGGTTTAAAACGGGACAACATGCAGGCCAAGATACATTTTTCGTTCCTCAAAGAACTGCTTTGTCGCTTTGGATACGTGGATTGAAAAATCCACTTTTCCTCCCATTTTTTTTCGCTTAACGGTAATACTGTAATTCATCACTGAAGAGACAAAATTGAACGTTTCTGCAAATAGCATACGAGCGGTTTTATGCCTTGGTAGCAGCATAGGTACCATTTTTCCATATTTAATCCAAACTTAATATTTGCTCAATACTACGGGGGCTGAACTTAAGAGACAGTTTAGCCGTTATATTCCATCAACTACTAGTCGCTGTATTTGAAGCCAAATTCTTTATTTGTTGTTTTGTTTTTAAACATTTTTTGAACAGTATTCTAATTTCCCCAATATTGGATATTTCGCAAATACTTTTGTGCGCAGATTAAGGATAATATTGGCATATTCTCCGACAACTTTACTCCATTCGCCTTTTTCATAAAATTATGACTGTATAACTGACCTTAATTTACGAAAAACTTTAATAAACAGATAATTAGCTCAACTTTCTTGATGCTGTACCAATAATAATTTCCTACTTGGAAAAAACACATTTCACTTATAAAATTCGGTAAATGTTCGATTTATAAAGAATTTACGTGCAGAAATTATTTAGCGATCGGTCGTTTTGTTTTAAATTAAATTTCAAAGCTTAATTTTTTCCCATACAAAATGTAAACATAATCAGATGTGCTTTTGAAAAAAATGACATTTAAGTCTAAGTTTCGTCGAAAGATGTTTATTTTTATATTATGGAAAGTGGCACGCGTTGTAAAATGTCTGTTTCGCGGGTTTTATCGGTAAATTCAGCCGACATTTCTAAATTTTTGATCGAACTACAGCTTTAGAATAGAATAGTAGAATAGTTTTTCTAAATTTAATAAACAACGAAAGCTGAGTTTGGTGGCTACATATTAGTATATGTATATTACTACGAAATTTACCCGGGTAACGCAGAGCTCTGCCGGGGTGGACCGTTCCCCTTCTCTGCAGCTCGTGGGAATTATATGGACAAATTCAATAATATAAACAACAACAAAAACAAAAACGAGAGAGGCACTCCCCAAATGCCTACAGGGAGCAATCCCAAGCGAGAGAAGGCAACGACCCAAAGGCCTGGCCAAATCCGCTCAGAAGCAGGAAAGACCTGCACGGTGAAGGACGCGGGTATGAATCCGGGTGGGTCCCATCCCACGCCTGGGATGGGTGGAAAGACAACACCCAAAACTGATACCATGGTAGGGCAGCTAAGCAATATTGCGTCTGCTCAACCTTCTGGTGAAGCGGCGGGTGATGGCTTACCATCAACCAGCGTCCAAACCAAAAAATTCAGTTATGCCGAAAAGAGGAGTGCTGGGCACATACTCCGTCGGCAGAACGCAAGCCAGGAAGTCAGTCCAACAGCAGACTGGCTGAAGAAAGTGGAATGGGCCTCGGTAGTGTTGCCAAACTTCAGTGTGGAGCCACAGAAGGTGGCCGCCCAACCGAAGAGGCAGCGCTCTCAAGAGACGCCCGGACCTGTCGCGAAGCGATCCAGGGTTATACCGAATGTATCCTTCGCGCAGATTGCCAAGGAGAGGACGCTGATAGGCGTTCTCGACAAAGGCAGCGCGGAGGGGAAAATACCCAGAAGCCAGTGGAAGTGGGTGGAAGCGGCACTGGCCGACCGCTGCTTCGAGCTTCTAGAGAAGGATCCCGGGCCACCCCCAGTCTGCAAAGACATGGGATGGTTCCAGGGAAGCATCAAGGTGGTAGCCTGCGAGGATGAGCGCTCCGTAAAGCTATACAAAGCTGCGGTGGCGCAAATCGGTGAGGTCTACGCCGGGGCAAAGCTCGTCGCTGTGGACTGGAGCGAGGTGCCCAGTAGGCCAAGGGCCCGTATATGGGTACCGGCCACTTTCAAGGAGCCCGAGCGGATCCTCACGATGTTGCAGAGATGCAACCCCACACTGCCAACCTCAGATTGGAGGGTGGTCAAAGTGGAGGCATCAAAGGGCCCCACAAATCAGGCGGTGGTTGTGCTGAACAAAGAATCGCTAGCCCCGATCGAGGCAGCCAGGGGAGAGCTTAACTTCGGGTTCAGCTCGGTGACCATGAAGGTCTATAAGTCGGACGCAGCGACCGAGGCGCGTTCTGTAAACAACCCAGTTGAGCAGGACGTTGCCTTGGAGATCGAGGCACCCGAAGTAGACCCGGAGCCGGCCCTGGAGAGCTACTCCTCGGAGACGGAGCTGATGCTCGATTTTGAGGCGTTGTGTCGGGACGAGATACTCGACGACTCTGACGCCGACATAACAGTGGTAGAGAACGTTTCTAATGAAGTCTCTGAGGCTTCTGCAGATAAATCTCCACCACTGTAAAGCAGCATCCGCTGCCCTGATACTCCGCTTAGTCGCAAGCGGAGGGGACATAGTCCTAATCCAAGAGCCCTGGTAGGAGGCAGGGTCTGTGGATTAGCGACGAAGGACTTTAAGCTGATTGTAGCCCAAACTGAAGGTAAAATTAGAACCTGCATATTAGCAAGAAAGCACCTAAATATCTTTCTGCTCCACAATTTTAGCAATGGCGACAATACGGCAGCTAGCCCAGAGCTACAAGGGACACGCCTGAACCTGGTGTCGTCCTACATGGCTCACGAGGAAAGTGATCCTCCCAGTGACCTCGTTCGCAAGATTGCCAGCCACAGCGAGAGGTCGGATACAAGCCTACTAATAGGCTGCGATGCCAACGCTCATCACACCCAATGGGGGAGCTCGGATACAAATGTAAGGGGTGAGTCACTTTTCAGCTTCATCCTGAACTCCAACCTAGTTATCGGTAATCGGGGTAATGACCCCACTTTTATCATAAAAAACCGTCAAGAGGTTATTGACCTCACTCTATTGTCTCACAAACTGTCAGACATAATGGAAAGTTGGAGAGTCCTAGAGGACCACTCCTTCTCCGACCACAGGTACATCAAGACAATCCTATCGCTCGAAAGCACCATACCCACTAGCTATATAAATCCAAGGAAAGCCAACTGGGATATGTATAGTGCAAAAATGAAGGAATTACTCCCCCCCCCCTAGCCCAAAATGCCCGGACACACAAGACGATCTTAATCGTCTTGTGGACAATTTCACGGAAGCTTGCAATAAGGCCTTCATGGCAGCTTGCCCCTCAACCAAACCAAGAAACCCCCCTGGTGGTCTAAACATATAGATACCCTCCGGAAAGACTGCAGGACTCTCTTTAACAGAGCCAAAAGCAGCAGCGAGGAAGCGCACTGGGAAAATTACAAAAGTAAGCTAACCCTATACAAAAAAGAAACAAGGAGAGCAAAAAGGGCCTCTTGGCAAAAATTTTGCTCCGAAATTGAAGACACGTCAGAAGCCGCAAGGCTACGCAAGATCCTGTCAAAAACATCCCCCTCGGTGGGATATCTCAAGAGAACGGATGGTACGTGGACAAACTCTAGTGAGGACTCCCTACACATTCTACTCGATACTCATTTTCCTGGGTGTACGACCATCGAGCCGGCAGACACCCCAAGTGAAGGCCCGGAAACCTCGATGGTGCACATCCTCACAAAACGGAATATTAGCTGGGCAGTAAACAGCTTTAAATCCTTCAAATCGCCTGGCCCGGACCAAGTCATTCCGGCTCAGTTACAAAAAG